TAGTTGCCGATGAGATTTCTGCACGGATACAAAAGGCTCGATTGGCTTTTGCCAATTTGCGCCACCTATGGCGCCGCCGTGATATTCGTTTGTCTATTAAGGGTCGCGTGTACTGCACAGCAGTCCGCTCTGTTCTACTGTATGGCTGTGAAACATGGCCATTGAAAGTGGAAGACACAAAAAGGTTTCAGGTGTTTGACCACCGTTGCCTTCGTAGTATAGGACGTATTCCGTGGTGTCACCATGTGAGTAATGCAGAAGTTAGGTGTAGAGTTTTGGGGGGAAGAGGTAAGTCAGTCGACGAGGTTGTGAACCTTCATCGACTGAGATGGTTGGGACACGTACTACGTATGCCTAGTCACCGATTGCCTCGTCACACAATGTTGGCTGAGGTGGGTTCAGGCTGGAAAAAGGCCCGAGGTGGCCAGACTAAAACATGGCACCAATGTATGAAGTCTCTGACTGTTGGTTTAAGCCATGTAGGACGATGCAGACTAGGTGGTTGGGGTCCACGGGACAAGAGGAACCAGTGGTTGGAGACCCTAGGTGATATGGCTCAGAACCGAAGTCAGTGGCGCAGATGTATACACACATTATCCTCATCTTAACAACGCTATACCGAATCTCACTATTTTGTCACTCCTCTTTCCTTTCTTCTCGTACTTTATATTTCTTTTGACTGCATTCACTTATCTTCATCCTTCACCTCACTACCTTTTTACTTGATGTGCTGATATGAGGTGTGGCAACTCGGACCGTTACGCAGTAATGCCTGGTCCTATGTTGATAATAATGATGATGATTATGATGTTAGCAACACAGTTCTCTCTTACCGCTATTATTAGCTTAGTCGTTCAGTACTTACTCGGACATGGCATTACTGCGTTATGGTTCAGGTTATAATACATACTAGTATATCAACGTACGAGGCAACGAAAATGATGGAGAAACAAAAAGGAAGATTTTTATCAAAAGTCTTAGAAGACCTTAGGAAGTAAGGAAAAGGAGTGAGACTAAACTGAATCGCGATGGGACATTTGGAGTGAAGATAATCTGTGTATTCGTCAGTGCGACTTCGATGGATTCTTATCCATACTACGTAAATACAGATACAAAACGAGCCAAATATTGTGTCTTGAAAGATCCCACTTTCTCTGATCTAACAATATTCCAATTATCTGCACGTTTGCATTTTCATATGCAATAGTGTCGTTGATACCAAAGCAACAAAACCAACCCATTTTCAAGTTGCGTTACAAAAAGCCTTGCACGAATCAGTAAACTGTGTTCATAGGTATTTTAAACTGAGTTGTCGCATTTCCTCTCATAATCGAGAATATCGCTATGCGAGAGCTACAGTTTTGTGAGTTGTGTAGCTCTGTCTTCTTAAGGCTATGTTCTCATCTTGTACCCCAAATTATTTCGTCATATTTATTTGTCAAATATTTTTAAGTCATACAATTTACGTTATGGGGACAACTGGTGAAGAGGTTTCTGTCTTGAATTGGTGACTGGTTTTTGAATCTATCAAGTCCCATCATCGACTAGTCTGAAAAAGGTATATGTTAAATAGAACGTTCAATGGGTCATCACTATAGTAGGTATAACGATTTAAGGACAGTATCTCATATCACTGACTTTTAAAGTTAAAGCAAACAAAAGGCTGTTGGTCGTAATAGATATGTAAAGCAGTGTTAAGATAGCGTACCATCTACGTCAGGAAAAATTACCTAACTGAGGTGTCGCATCACGCGTTTAGCTCCGCATAAGCCTATTTCCACTGACAGATTATATCCTTTATGGCGTAGTTAAGTGTAAAGTCTACCTTTTTTCGCCCTGCCTATACAGAAAATGATATGGAAATCGACATGTGTATGAACTTTTTGTCACCCTTTTACTGACTCACAATCAACATAAGACCAGGTACCACCGGTTTACGATCCAAGTTATTCCTCACCATATTAGTACATGAAGCGACAAAGCATAAGGGTGAAAGATAAACGTCGGTCAAAAGTAGAAAAAAGTAGTAAGTGAGTGGTGAAAAGAAAATGCTGAGGACTAAGATGAGGATAGTGTGTGGATGCATCTGCGCCATTGAGATCGATTCCGAACCATGTCACCTAGAATCTTCAACCACTGGTTTATGTTGTCATACGAACCCCAACTGGGAAGTCCGCATTCCTCTACACGACCCTGGTCAACAGTCAAAGACTTCATTCAGTGATACCATGTTTTGGTTTGACCGCCCCTCACCACTTTCTAGCCTAAACCTACTTCAGTCAACACTATGCGACTAGGCCGACAGTGACTAGGTATCCCTGAGCCACCTCAATCAATAAAGGTTCAGAACCTCAATGGATTGATTTGCCACTTCTCCCTAAGACTGCATATCTGACTTCTACATTACCTGGTGACACCATGACACGGCCTGTGCTACGGAGGCAACGGTGCCCAAACACCTGAAGTCTCATGTCCGATGATGGTCATATTCCACAGCCATACAATAAAACAGAGCAAACTGCAGCGCAGGACACTCGACCGTTAATAGATTATCGGATATCACATTGACGCCATAAATAGCTTACGTTTGTCTTTTGTATCCGTGCTGAGATTTCGTCGGTTACTGGCCCACCGGGGTTGATCCGAATTCCCAGGTAAAGTAGCCAACACGCTCAGAAATTTCACCCCTTACTTTTAGGTGCATAAACGCAGACCAATCCTGCAGCAACACTTTACATTTGGGTGATGAGAAACGTATCCTAAATATTCTCAAATTGCCACTCTAAGTCTCCAGAGGACTCTGCATCTTAAGCTAACAGGACTATGTCATCTGCGTACTCTAGATCTAGCAAGTACTTTTCTTTGGTGAGATCAGTCCCCGTGGAGTCGGTTGATGAGAAGGGACCCTCCATAAGTACTTCTATGAAAAATAATGGGGAGCCAACACCCTCTAAAGATCACTCGATGTAAGCAATTCTGCATATTCTCTAACACTTATGGGTGTTCGAGTATAGAGCCTTGAACAGAGTGATGTACTTACAACTTCTGTCAATGAGATACTGCCATAAGACCCCTCGATCGACGGAGTCAAATGCCACCTTCAGGTCGAGAAATAAATTCAGTGTCGGGTATATGCAAATGTGCCTATATTTCAGAGCATGACGAAGTGTGAACATCTGCTCGACACACCGACGACCAGGTCTGAAACCTGCCCGGTTTTCTCGGGTTCACTCTTCCCGAGCTCCACTTAGACATCTTATGATTAAAGCAGCTGGAATTTTAAACACTGTTTTCATTAGGCTGATTCTTCTGTGTTTATCACAAGAGGACTTCACGCTTTTCTTGAAGACTGGAATAATCAGTGATTGAGACCACTCAGAGGATCCATATTTGACTCCTATACGCTAGTTTACACTTCATTTAACCTGACTAAAGACACTGTCACCGTCGTTATATACCTCAGGAACTAGTCCATGTGGTCCTGCTGCCCTTCCTCATTTTGTTACCTACCACTTTCTTGACTTCTGCAGGTGTTGGGGGGCCTATGTCAATGTTCCATACAGGATCCGACTTGCTAGTGGGAAACGCAATAGTAACTGGAGTCCAGTTGAACTATTACTCGAAGTGTTCTACCCATCGTCCCAGTCGTCATCCCTGTGAGTGAATTGCGAATAGGAATAGTAATTAACCTGGTTGGGTTCCGCAGAGTTGTGGCAAGCAGTTGTTGGTTATGTGGAACTGTGACGCATTGGCTTTTAGTAGCCGACTTTCAAAGCAATAATCCTAGGTCCACCCATTTTGACCCGGTAAGCTGGATAGTGTCACGAGCCACCACATAAAGCGTGGTTTTTCGTATCTCCTTGCCTTTCATCTTGATGCGTGTTATGATGACGTAAACCTTTTTGTAATAATGCTAAGTCTTATGTCGGTATTGACTGATTGATAACCTCGTAGACAAACTTGTACCAATTAGATATGGTTGTATTTTAAACTCTTGATAGTATGGTTCAAAATGGGTTTATACACTCTTTACCATCTCCAAAGTGTTGGACTTTTTCACTGAACGCCATTTATACATTCTACTTGCCGTCATACACTTCGCCTTTAATATCTTCCTTTTCTATCAACTTTATGTGAAGTGACCTAGACTGACACACTTGGACACAGCTTCTCATAATTTTTCTGCTAAATAGGAAAAAAAGAGTCAGGTAAAGGTTCGGAAAAGTCACTTGCATGACATAACTGGCGTGATCTGTATGCGGTATTTATCTTCGATGTATTTTACCGCTGTTAAATGTAAGTCACCCAAAGTATCTTACAAACCCATTTTCAATTGCGATGCCATGTTAAGTACAATGCTAAGTTGTGTTTTTTATAAACTTGTGATAAACTTTATTTCATCCCGTTGAACTCAGTGTGGCTATACAAAACTCTTGTATTACTTTGCATCTTGATATTATTAATTGCGTAAGCGCGTGATGCTAAAAATCGCTTATAGTTACTTGTATACTAATTTCCCCCGTGTAGCTAATGAAATTTGAGAATTAACATGACACAAATAATTACATCTACGAATGATATAAATGTACAAAATAACTTGTAGTTGGTATGTTAATTATTTGCTGTTGGATCGTTAAGTGGTACAAAGTATATTTGATACCAGATACTGTTTACTATGACGTTGAGTCACTGTAATAACTGAGTCCACTTCGAATGCTAACCGATAAATAAAAGTGAAATTGGTTGCTTAATCTTTGTCGACCACAGTAATTCTTCTCAAATAGTTGATCAAAACAGTTTCACTGACAAGTCAAAGTTGATTACACCACTTCATCTATCCATAACAATGATTAAGATGAATATAAATTACTGGGACTAAAGTCTTCGTATCAGCTGCTCAATAATTTTAGCTAAAAGAGAATACTCATAATTGCTAACACAAACAACTGTGGCGAATATTTGGTAGCTAATTTTCCTGTTCGTTAAATTTTACATTGCAGAGCTATATCAATGCCCATGTACATTTTGATGAACTTTTCCGGAACTCCAGTTTAGCCGACAGAATCGTGCTTTTAACATTGAATGTTTTTAAAACGTATCTAAACAGTTTCCACTCTTCAGCAGCTGAAGGATTTAAGCTAAGATGAGGATTATTGGCCATATTTCACATCTTCACGGCACAATCATTCAAACATCTCGTAGATATAGCGTATCTGTAGATGAAGTGTACATGAAATCGCTCTTAAATAAACTAGGTCAGAAAAGTGTGGCATCGCCCTCACACAGCGAAACAAAAGATATGAAAAATACTCATGGAATGAGTAGAAATCCACAAGATGGTGATTTTTTCAAAGGAAATGAAAATCTTTCCGTATCGAAGTGGAATTTTGTCAAACCTTCGAAGAAATTGGTGCGTGATTCGTCAGTCCCTTTGAAAAATCCTATCGGTTTTGGTGTTGCACTTCGGACCGCAGAAAGTCTGCATCGTGAAGTTAAGGACGTTCAGACCCATAGCCAATCTCTTCCAGATATTGGTAAGCTGCCACCGAAGAACATAAGGTCATATTTAAGTCCAAACCAAACGCCTACGGAAAGCATTGTCTTATTGCAGCAGTGGTTTAAAGAGTTGGAATTAAATGATTTGGTTCGGGTGCTCCCAACGTGTGGTAATCTTGCAGCTTATGTTCCAAAGTTTGTGAAACTTCTTAAAAAGTCAATTTTGTAGCTGTTTTACTCTCTCGCAACTTGTGAAGCTGGGTGTTGATCTATCTAAAATTGAAGCTGTTCCTGGCGTTGCAAATATGTTGATGAAACTCGATTTCCACGCCGACATTGAACCCGTATTATGGCGACTTGCAGATTTTGGGTTCAAGCCTGAACAAATCGCACGTATCATAACAATCTTCCCTAAAATATTTAAGGTAATAATTTTTATAACTTTATTTTGGCTAGCTTTCACTGGAAGAAATCAGCTCACGAATATCGTACTTTACGGACCGACGAGTTTTTCTTACGGATGTTGTTACAATGGTGCATAAAAAGCCTACCATACTCGAGATACCATCCATCGAAATAGATAAGCATCTTGGTCAAATAAAATCGCTCCTGAAGTTAAAAAGTAGCCTAATTTTGTCACATACACTTTGTTAATTGTTTTAGATTCAGAAGTTGTCAACTTGATCACAACTGAACCTAAAATAATTTTGCATCCTCTGTCCAAAATCAAGGTGAGAGTTAAGAGAAATTTTATTTCACTTCAACGCAACTGACCTGTTAGTATGTATTAGTAGATGCATTCGCTACTCTGTAATATTTTTGAGTCTGATTATGTACAATAAACCTATGTATCTTAGTTTTATAATGTAGTATACGCGTATAACGACCCATTTATTTTAGTGTGGTAATCTGCGACATTGACTCCCATCCCCAAAACCCGTTCTCACTTCATTTTATTCATTCTCGACATTCCAGTAGTATCCTCGCTCCAAATTCAATAGTCTGTTGATTCAGTCTGTTTCAAAAATTCTACCGATAGTGATGGTTCGTTAAAAATTTAGATGATTTTTGTTGTCATGAAAAATCTTTTATTAGTGAAGTTAATCTATATTGATATACTTTAGAAAAGATGCTACATTTTTGGTACGTTTTAAAAATAAGGATTCAGTTGTAATGCTTACTCTAAAGTGTATTATTCAAACATCTTGCTGATTTTGGTGGTCACCACAGCTAGTAGTGTTTTGAAGATGTATGAATAATCAAGTAGTACCAGTTCACCAAGTTATTTCTGTAGAGTGTGCGGTGAACTTTAGGCTAATTTGAGTTTATAAGGCAGTAGAACTAACTGTTTGCCGAGATTATGAATGATTTCGCTTAATCGACATTAGTACAAATCTACTGATGCTTTTTCTTCCTCTATTAAGATATTATTACTGTAGCTACCAGTCTCCTATTTCATAAGTATCTTTTTGTAAGATTTTGACACAAGCTTTACGTTCTTCCAACCGCTGTTCATGTGGAGTCTTTATGTGGCTAAATGGTATTATTCTTTTTAGGATGTCTTTGTGGTGTTATCAAAAATGATGGGATTTTCTGAGTCAGTTGTGCAAAATCTGGTTCTTGCTAATCCCAAGTTATTAGTAACAGGTAATGCTATGAAATGTTCTTTTATTATGATCAAAACTTTCAATATGAAGTAATATGCAAACCTGAAAAATTATTTTAAATGAAAGGGTGTATAAGACGTAATCGGCGCCTCAGTGCATGCTTTTGTTGAATGTACAAATTCATATCGAATCTATCAGCAAACGCACTTCCTGAATCTATCTGCACATGACTGTCTAAAACTAGATCCAGAAAGCTTGAGATCGACCAACGTTTCCACATTTTCACCATATTACTTACTAATTGTGATTGTATATAAAATACTAAAAGGCGACCAGTAAAAAATGTTGTGGTGGCGGTTCATATATAGACAAGAGTGCGAAATACCTGTGTAAACGCTCCTTGCCTACAGGTTTTCAAACTTTAGTCGTAAACATTTTTGAGAGCCTTAGGTTGAAGTTTGTTCTATAGTATTCACATCTGATCAGTGACAATCAAATATGGTAGTGGGATGAGACAAGAATAAAAATAAATTCGCTATTGTATCGAAAGTTGTGAAGATAGAAATTCTTTGGTAGTAAAATATCTAGACTGTTATTTCATCTTTTCTTATAGAACATGAACACTTAAAAAATAACTTTTCTATTATGCACTGGTGCTTTGACCTCCCAGTTGATCAGATACAAATGTGGCCAGAGGCATTATCAGCAGCACCTCATTTGCTGTACCAACGCTGTACATTTCTTGTCCGCCGAAATTTGTTCCAACCGGATCCAACTAAGTGAGTTGTTTTTTTCTGATTGTCTAAAACTTTACGTTTTATGGAGAAACAAGTATGTCTGCAGAAAATATTCAAGCCAATAACTTGTCTAATAAGGTGTGTAGTATTGGGATTTCCAACTTTGTTGATTGAACAGTAGCTTTAAAAACAAGCTATTTGATGAGGTCTTAGATTTCAAAAAAGCATTTGGAATTTGTGATGGTTTTTTTGCTTCGCATTACTATGACTAATTAATTAGGTCACTTCGTATCTACTAGTTGTGAAAAAAATTCACACTACGAATTGCAGTGATATTCATTTTAAAAGATGTCAACCCAAGTCATTATGGTGGCGCTTTTATTCCATTTTTGATTTCAATAAAATTTAGATGAATTATCTATGGAATTCAACGTGTAGTCCCAATTGGTTAACAACCCAGCTCTATGATCCTTTTCTTGTAGATCTCAAACCGTGTCTTACCCCGTAGATGTCAATATAAATCTTGATGAGTCCCTAATATAAGCAAAAAGTTAGCTACTGAAATAGTCTTCTCATCTTCAGAGTAAGCAACTGGAAGGTTCAGTCAAGACCTTCTGCGAACGCTTAAAATAGTTCCTTTAAATCGGCAGTTAAAATTCCATATACGAAGTTTGGGAAACGAAAAAAGTACCTCGAATATCGAACAATAGGTTGTTTGACAGTTTAGTCCATTAGCCTTTTTCAGATTACAATTACCGAGGGCCGACACTTGCCATATTTCTTGACCTGAAAGCAGCATTTGACTCTTGACCAGGAGGTATTGTGGCAGTGATCGACCGTAAAGGGAGTACCAAGGAAGTATACTATAATCACAACTCTCTACTTGAACTGACGTGGCCGCGTAAGAGCTCATGGAGTGTTTTGAACGCCTTGAACAGAAATCTGAGTGTGTTTGGCGAGCGTTGCGTACCTCTGAAATGTAGAATAATGCTACAGGACTAGTCTGCAACTATTCAGTTTAAGGGTAACGAGTAAAATAGTAAGATGGGTCGACTTCACTTACTTGGAAACTCGCGCCAGCCCGAACGGGTTGGTTACTGATGAAATCTTGGTTCGGATACAAAATGCCCGTTTGGCGTTTGCCAACTCGCGTCGTTTGTGACACCAGTGAGATATCCGACTATCCACCAAAGGACATATCCTGCGCTACAGTCCATTCTGTCCTGTTATTCGACTGTAAGACATGGCCATTGGAAGATCTGAAACGGTTACAGGTTTGTGACCATAAATGTCTTCGTAGCATTGTTCGCGTATGCTGGAATCATCGTGTGAGGAATGTTGAGGTTCAGTGTAGGGTACTAGGCAAGGGAGGTAATTTGGTTGTGAACTCCCAGCGACTGATGTGGTTTGGACATGAACTGCGCATACCGAGCCACCACCTACCTCAACATGCGATGCTGGCTGAAGTTGAAGCAGGTTGGAAGAAGGCTCAAGGTGGTCAGACTAAAACGTGACACTATTGCATAAAGTCTCTTACTGCTGGTCTGAACCACGTGTAGAGAAGTGGGCTATCTGGCTGGGTTGTTCAGGATGATAGAAGTCAATGGTTGGGGACTCTCGGTAACATGGCTGGAGATCGGTCACAATGTCTCCAGCTTATTCACTTCCTGACGTCTTCTAGAACATTTACACTCACCTTCATCTTTGTTGGTTCCCTCATACACCTTTGCCTACTTTGATATCAGTCTTTTCCTATCCACTTTTTCTTTGTATCCCACTGTGAGGTGTGACTACGTGAACCGATACATTTCCGTGCGTGGTTCTACGTTGATTTTGCCTGTCTGTGCCAGTTTTACTAGATTGCATATGTAGCTGTTGATTATCCTTTTATTGTTTTTTGTGACTGCACTTTGTAACGCTATGCTCAAACAACTGTACACTCTTTTGTTGCTGTTTTATAGACCGTTGTATACGCCTCTGAGCACCATAGTCATACAAGAAGACAAAGAATTCTGTCAGAAGTATGGGTTCACTACGGAAGATGACTACGATAACTTTCTTCGAACTCTGTGAAAGTAACTTTCTTCTTGTGAATAAATTATCATCTGAATAAAGGATTTTAGTTTTAATGTAGTGTCCTTCACTACCTGTACAATCTGTTATATTTGAGCTCCGTAGGGTTTATATCGGTGAAGTTATTCGGAATGCAACTCAACTTTAGTTTAGAAAATAATAAACTTGTGGCAATTTCTTCCTCATGTTGTATTGTATGTACAGTACCAATTATGTAGTCGGAACTTATATATTCTGCTCTTATATTATGTTTTGCTGGGTAGGTGTGGACGCCACTTCTTTGTTTTTTGCAACTTAGCTATTCAGTAAGGTTTTTATTTACTAGCTTGTAAGTCATGTTTACTGTGTGGGGGATTTCGATTAATCAGGTTGAAGTGGACGAGGTGGAACTGCAGTCTAGAACACACTCCTTAAAATTCAAGTGCTTATGCTAATAAGGCACTGGTTTTTTCATCAAAAGTATGTTGTGCTACGACCATAAGAAGGCAGATACTCCTCTTTAAATAGCCAACTTTGGAAAAAAAATACAAAAACAGAATTCATATGAAATTTTTTCCCTTTGCGCAATACACCGAACGATCTAATCTCATCTTACCTGTGACCAAATGATGACAGTCAATAAATATGAAAAGGAGGTTTAATTATTAACTCAGAGGTTAATTACGTATAAGGAGGAAAAGATAAAGTGGGAATAACTCGCTCCGTTAAAGGCGATTGGCAAAGAGATGTTTGTTTTCAATCATATATGAAAGGTCCAAACTTCATAACAAAAGGTTCAAATAACTTGAGCGTCGAACCTATCTACAAAACCTATCACAGGCGCACTCCAATTTTCATCATGAACCATATTAGTGGACTGTCCACTTTGACAGCAGGAAAATGGAAGGTAGTTTTTGTAACTGCTGAGGTTCTGAATCACGTGTTTTCTGTTCACTATAACGCTGACTTCGCAAGTGGTTAGTTTCGTATACAATCGCCACATCTCGTATGTACGATTTTATTACGTCGTTAGTCATTGGGTTTATCCCCACGGACCTCGTACAGTTGAAGACAAGTTTGGTGCTCACTGTGCTTGCATGTTTGCAATTTAAGTCAAAAATGTATACTAATGAGTTGTGTTCCACATAGTTCATAGGAACAGAATTCATTTCATACACGTAAAATGGAATAATATACAAAAACTAGATCCATTTCACACGCAGTTATTTCTGAACCATAAGTCGTATAGAATCGAGTGAGGGGTCAATGAGAAATTCTGCTGAGCTATGCAGTTGTACCATAAGATGAGTCTTAAGCAGATAAATAAAATAATGCGACGTATCATCCTCCTGCCAGGTTCACATCTTTCTATCTTCGATCGGTACAACGATGGAGTGAAAGGTTATCAGAAGAAAGATGAATGTTGGCAAAGGTGTGCAGGTTGCTGAAACTTCTTGGCTAGCTACACTGCGGGGAAGTTACTTCTCAGAGATGTGTATAAGAAAATGGGTTAGTCCAGATGGTCGCACCGACTTGAAAGCATGAGTGCGAAGTCTTAGGGCATTGGGAAATACGACTATCTCACAGAAAACCTCATGTTTATTTATTGGCATTATTCTTCGCATTACTACTACTCTTTGTTTATAATTAGAACGAAAAATCGATACACTAACGATCAGATTATCCTAAATCACCTCGGAAATTTTTCCTGAATACCGTAAAGATAATTTAAACGGTCCATTAACTCCTTGGTTCCTGTCGTCTTCCATCTTAATTATCAATTGTGACTTTCGAGAAAGGGGACCGTTTAGCGCTGTAAATTTTCAAATTATAATAGTGTAGTACTTAGTCTACAACACAATAATAGTTGCTCGAGGTCAGCCTTTTCGCAGACTCTTGATTTGGAACTATTTTCATTCCACACTTCGAACCTCTTTATAATCGGCTACAAATATGTTTTGAAAGAATGGATAGTACTGTTTTTAAGAGATTCTCTGTTCCGAGAAACAAAATGAGTATCTGCTAGGACTTTCGATTACTCTCGAGAAACACCTCGCTGCTTTTACACCTTAATGCAACTTCGTTACACCAGATTATTCTAGTATTTTGAATTTGTGTGTTTCTAATCTCATTATCCCCACTGATGATTTTAGAAGAGTGGCTTTCGAAGGAGTGTGTCATTTATGGCTAATATATATATATATATATATATATATATATATATATATATATATATATATATATATATATATATATATATATATATATATATATATATATATATATATAACCGACACATTCCTTCAAAAGCCACTCTTCTAAAATCACCAGTGGGGATAATGAGATTAGAAACACCCAAATTCAAAATACTAGAATACGTCAAGATAACTCACTAAACATTTTACTTCACGCAGTAATACTGTTCGGTATGTTTTCTGTCGTATTAAAATGATATTTTGTTTATTGAGGTGTATTAAAGTACCACATATTTGTATTTTGCAAACAGCTTTAGATCAAGTGACTCATTTTAACTATAGCTTCTCACAAACTCTGTGTCATCAGTGGGGATTAAGAAATCAGTGTACACTGGACCCCACATTAAGTTTTATAATCACTACGGTTTGTATGCATCTAGGTTATAGGTAGGCTCGAACACCTCACTAATGTAACGACTGTCGGACAAAAACGAGTAACTTCACTGTTACTGCATGTATAATGTAGTTGTAAGGTAGTTAGTATCAACATAATAATGACCTGCAAGTTCCAAGAAATAGTGATACATTCCCTACACGTTAATTTATGCTTGATAGTTTCTGCCTTTTACAAATGTTCTGCTGGTCTACAGTTAGTTAACTTTTCTAAACTAATTACTTCAGTAGTCGAACAAACACTTCGCTTACCAAATAGTTGGTGTAAGGTAATAAAATATGCCAGAAGTTGGGAGAAATTCAAACATAATTACCTGCTACTCACGTGTTGATTTGAACCGTATACAACAGTCCAAAAACAACCATGGAGTCACTTGTTGGAAAAGCATCACTAAATTAGCTCAGTCTTACGCACGTAAAATCTTTCAAATTGCCACACTGAGTTCCTACCTTGACTCACTTCAGACTATATACGGGCCTACCTACCTTCCTGTTCACCCATCTGCACTATGTTTTCATAACATGAAGAACACAAAACCGAGAAGCAACAAGTTGTGGCGGGCTAACTACGTAGCGAATAATTGCTGTTATTTCAAAAAAGAAAGGTATCATCTGGTACGTAGCATTTAATAGTATTTTGAATAACATGTAGAACTCACCATAGATGTGATGTCTTCATATCGCAAAGACAAAAATGAAGTGTCACTATGGAAATGCACTCAGCAACCTTGCACACATCTGTGCAGTAGGCAGTGAGCCACACTTATTGTGCGGGGGTTAGTAATGCTACCTGGCTGCCCAAACCTCGGTAGGTGAAGCAGTGTTCGAACCCGTGACCCATCGGTGGAAATCATCTTAAATCCTTATAGTAAGTATAAGTCAAATTAAGAAAGAAATCTATATATTATTTTTCATATAGTAAGTTACTAATTCACCAGCATACACTTTTTCCATATCGGGCGACTGTATTTCCAAGGTGTGTTGGGTGGATTCATTTTTGCAGCTTGCTTATGGCGTTTATGAGTTTTACATTCAATATAAAGTCTACCATCACGTCGATCAAAATAACAATCTGGACACCTACGGACCAAATGGTTTTTAACTTTATAAGGTCGAGACTGAACACCAAATAACACTGCTCGGTTTTTGGCTAAAATTGGGAAATAAACGCCGAAAATCCTCGTTGTGTAGTACATCGCTTGAACTTTTTGTAGCATACTCATTTCTGAATCTGAATAAATAGAAATAAAGCACAATGACTTCAGCGTTAGTCCTGCAAAGTGAAAATTAGATTCAACGATGTTTTTTAAAAACCGACCCAATGACAAACACGTACATAACTCGTGAATGAAGACAACATTTAACGTAAGTCTTCAGAAATAAATACAACAAACTACTTTGGGTGTATACACTACCAAACTACGAATAACACACAACACTAACCCATTCGAGACTAATAGTGAGAGGAAGTGGTAGTAAGATCAAACAAGTCAACCAGATGTGTTCGATTAGGATTGCTATGAGGAAGTCATTTTACAAATAGCTGCAACAAACAAACAAAATCAGCGCGGAATCCTCCACCTAAGTGCGTCAGTGAAAGTTGTCACAATCAAGAGTAACGCAAAGAAGACGTGAATACACAAAAATGAGTAATAAAGTACACGAAAGCACAACGCTGCCTTTTCCATCTCTTTAGCCTTCGCTGCCCACCACTGTTCACGATCGTTGCGCAGACTTTTCGTCAGTTTATTTTTAAGTTGCGCTCGCTCTTCATTGTACTCAGAGCCTGCAGGGATGCATTCACGTGCATCCATTAGTTTGGAAGAAGCTGCTGATATCCACTGGCTCTTTTTAGCCATTATCTTGGAGTCGGCTACAGTCTCCAGTGCTGCTTTTACAGTAGACTGAAGATGGCACCAAGCTTCTTCTGGATGAGTGACAGTCTTTTGTTCCGATAACTGCCTAGCCAACTTCTCACTGAACACGGCTTTGGTGTTTTCGTTGTCCAGCAGAACTCGTAGTGGTTTTGTTGCCAAATTTTTTCTACGTCCATTGAGACGCAGGCATATACGTGCTCGGACCAACGCATGATCGCTGTCCAAACACGTACTCCAGAAGGAGCGGCAGTCTTCCACCGATCCTCTCCAGCGATGACTAATAGCAATGTGGTCTATCTGTGTCCATCGCTGAGTCGAGCTCGGTGGACGCCAGGTCAGACAGTGCCTTTCTTTATGTCTGAAATTTGTGCTGGCTAAAAATAGGCGGTTATCTGAGCATAGTTGTAATAGGCGATCACCGTTATCTGTACGTTCAGCTGGGATTCCGAAAGTGCCACCTAAGTGCCTTTCTGCCTCACTCAGTCTACCCACCTGTGCGTTGAGGTCACCTGCAACAACCACTACGTCCGAACGTTTGGCTTTCGAGAGGAG